AGGTGTTTTTGTTTTTGTGGTGGTTTTGCTGTGCTGGGATGGGAATCAGAACTTTGATTATGCTAGGCAAGCATGTTTTACCGAATAAGTCCATCCCAATACCGCCCCCCCCCAGCTCCCCAGTCTGTCTTTCTTTTTCTTTTTCTTGTCAGTAGTGGGGCTTGAACTCTGGGCCTGGGTGCTAACCCTGAGCTCTTTCGTTCAAGGCTAGTGCTCTACCACTTTGAGCCACACCATCACTTCTGGTTTTCTAGTGGTTAATTGGAGATCAAAGTCTCACAGATTTTCTAGCCTAGGCTGGCTTTAAACCAAGATCCTCAGATCTCAGCCCCCTGAGTAGCTAGGATTACAGGCATTAGCCACCAGCACCCGGCTGTCTCTCCATTCTCTTAAGGAGAAATTGAAAGTTCAGAGAGGCTAAAGGGCTTGCCTGAAGTCACACAGCTTAGAAGAGCTGAGAGGGAGCCCAGGTCTTCTCACTCTGGGGGAAGATCCCAGGTAGCGTTTGTGCAGCGTGATTCTCAGATCCATTGGTAGTTGTAATACTCTGGGAAAATTCCCTTAACTACTCTGGGCTTCAGTTTCTTTCCCTGTTTCATATTAATAATGACACTGCCTCGTGGTGGCGGTGGGGACAAGGATGCATGAGGTTGCCTGGGTCACAGCAGCCATATCCTCACTGTGCTCTGGCCTGGCCCTCCAGAACAGAGCCCAGTGGTAGGGAGAGAGAGGTTCATTGGGGGTGCTACCCCAGCATGGCTCAAGTCCCATTTCTCTGTAGGCCCACAATATGGCACACTGGAGAAGGCCTGGCATGCCTTCTTCACTGCTGCCGAGCGGCTGAGCGAGCTACACTTGGAGGTGCGGGAGAAGCTGCACGGGCCGGACAGTGAGCGGGTGCGCACTTGGCAGCGGGGGGCCTTTCACCGGCCAGTGCTGGGTGGTTTCCGTGAGAGCCGAGCTGCTGAAGATGGCTTCCGCAAGGCCCAGAAACCCTGGCTGAAGAGGTTGAAGGAGGTGAGATGTGGCGCTGTGGGTATCCGGGCAGGCCCCTTTTAGGTCTGCATTGGGGCTCAAGGGAATCAGGACATGGTGTCAAGGGTCGCAAGCTGTCCCCATATGTGCTAGGTTGAGGCTTCTAAGAAGAGCTACCATGCAGCCCGCAAGGATGAGAAGACAGCCCAGACCCGGGAGAACCACGCCAAGGCAGACAGCGCTGTGTCTCAGGAGCAGCTGCGGAAATTGCAGGAGCGGGTGGGCCGCTGTGCCAAGGAGGCGGAGAAGGTACAGGCCCAGGGTTTCCTGGGAGTCTTGCTCCCGTCCCCAGCACTCTTCCTGCTTCAGTTCCCATGTGTAGTCTTCTCCAGATGATCATTTAGAGAATGAACTTGCTTTACCCAAGAAAGAAACTGGTACTGCAGTGCCAGGACTGGGGTGTCTGTAGCACTTGAAGATTTCCAGCCAGGCACTGGTGGCTCACACCTGTAGTCCTAACTACGCAGAAGGCTGAGATCTGAGGATCATGGTTCAAAGCCAGCCCAGAAAGGAAAGTCCCAATTAACCACAGAAAAAGCCAGAAATGGCGCTGTGAATCAAGGGCTAGCCTTGAGCAAAAGGAGTTCAAGGACAGTGCCCAGGCCCATTCAAGCCCCAGGACTGGTTAAAAACAAAACAAACAACAACAAAAAACAGATCTCCAGCTCTTTCTTTGTACCTAGGAGTTTTCATATTGCCTACTCTGCCTAGAGTGTTCTTCCCTCTAACATTGTGTATCTAGCTCTTCTTTGTACCCTGAGGTCTGCTCAGTGTCCACCTCCAAGTCCACAGCTTCCAGAAAACTCTTTCTGATTTCTCTCAGCTTTTGCTTTTTTTTTTTTTTGGGTCATTAATCTTGCACTCAGGGCCTGGGTGCTGTCCCTGAGCTCTTTTGCTCAAGGCTAGTGCTCTACTACTTTGAGCCACAGCTCCACTTCTAGTTTTATGGTGGTTAATTGGAAATAAGAGTCTCATGGGCCCTTTGAACGGCTTTCCTCTGATCACAGCCTCTTGAGTATTTAGGATTACAGGCGTGAGCCACCAGCCTACTCACTGTCTGGAGTAGGCTGTCTGGAATTCCAGTAGACTCTTTTAAGTGCTGTGCCTGAATGTCACCTCCCTTGTTAAAGCTGCTTGAGGACTGAAACCAGTCTTAATCCTGATTGCCCAGGATCTAGTCTGATCCTAGATCTAGGACTAATTCAGTGCCCTTCTCTTTGTCCCAGACAAAAACCCAGTATGAGCAGACCCTGGCGGAGCTGCACCGCTATACTCCACGCTACATGGAGGACATGGAGCAGGCTTTTGAGAGCTGCCAGGCCGCAGAGCGCCAGCGACTTCTCTTCTTCAAGGAGATGCTGCTCACCTTGCACCAGCACCTTGACCTCTCCAGCAGTGACAAGTGAGGGCAGCATGGGGTCCCCTCCACCTCCATTGGGCTCTGCTAGGCTGAATGGAGATTGGGTGGTACTGGGGCCCAGAACTTCCTTGTCTTACTGAACACCTCTGACCTTAGGTTCCATGAACTCCACCGAGACTTGCACCAGGGCATTGAGGCAGCCAGTGATGAGGACGATCTGCGCTGGTGGCGTAGCACCCACGGGCCGGGAATGGCCATGAACTGGCCACAGTTTGAGGCATGTGATACAGCTTGGGTGGGGCTTGAATTTTGTAAGAACCCTAGAAGGAAGCCAGAGATTGGGATGAAGTAGGTGAAGGTGGTCCAGATGGCTCTACTGTTAGCACAGCTATCTCCCAGCATGACCCTGAGCATCCTCCCACAGGAGTGGTCCTTGGACACACAGAGAACAATCAGCAGGAAGGAGAAGGGTGGCCGGAGCCCTGAGGAGGTTACTTTGACCAGCATCATGCCCACCAGAGATGGCACTGCTCTTCCATCCCAGCCTCCAGGGTCGCCAGGGTGAGAGCCTAGAGCCTGGCTAAGAGAAACAACTCTGTCTCTGCTTTCTCTCTCTCTCTCTAAGTCCTCCCCTTCACACTGAAGTGGGTTGAACATTGATACCAGGGATCTGAGGGTGACTTAGAGGTAATGATACCAGGTTTCACAGAGATTTTGGTTTGTCAGAAAGTTCCCATGTTCTCTCTTGCTTTGGCCATATATCTCACTCAGTGTGATTGGCAGAGGTGTGACTAGCTTTCAAATCCTTCCCATCTACCTCTAAAGCATCCCTCTTAAGGGGAGCCCTTTGCCCTGAAGTCCTGGGGACATTTATAGCCTAAGGTCAACCTTATGCCCTGAAACTCTGTCTTTCTTTCTCCCCCTCTAGTGGTGGGCAGGATGAAGAGTGGTCAGATGAGGACAGTCCCAGGAAGGCTGCCACTGGGGTGCGGGTGCGAGCACTCTATGACTACGCTGGCCAGGAAGCTGATGAGCTGAGTTTCCGAGCAGGTAACGTGGGCCTCTTTCTCCTGTTCCTTTCCCAGTTCAGCCTCTGCCTTACCTGTCTGAGTAGGAGTCGAGGAGAAGACACCTTCTTAAGGGTTAGTTCTCTGGCTGGTTAGGCTGTTCTGGGTCCAGCCAGCTGGGGCTTGACTCCTGGGGTCTGGGGTAGGATAGTTTGCTAACTTGGACTACTTCTGCCTGAGCAGGTTTCTTCTTACTGGCTGGCAGGCTCTTGTGCTGCCCCATCCCCCTCAGTCCTTGACCTGGTTGGGGAAACAGCCTGCCCAGGCCAGGGCAGCTGACTATGACCAATCTCCCTTTCCCCAGGGGAGGAGCTTCTGAAGATGAGCGAGGAGGATGAGCAGGGCTGGTGTCAGGGCCAGTTGCAGAGTGGTCGCATTGGTCTGTACCCTGCCAATTACGTGGAATGTGTAGGTGCCTGAATGCCCTGACAGCTCTACTGCAATGTTTCTCCACCCTGGGTCAGAACCCAGCTGCTCCTATAGATCTGGACTTGAGGGCCCTGAACTACCATGCTGCTGCTACCTCTCTGTCTCCTGGGGAGGGAGGAAGTTCTGGGACTCAGGGAGGGAAGGGGCCTGTGTCTAGGAAGGGGAAAAGCCAATTGAGTCTGAGGATAGGATGGGAGGATCGAAGTGTGACAGAAGGGTTGAGGGGTGCTTGGTCCTCCCCAGGGACACGGGTCTCTCCAGGAGCAGAAGATCCAGTTTCTGATGTTTTGGGATTCCTGGGGTGGGCTTGGAGGTGAGTATAGTTCTAGGGTTAGCAGCAGCACCCTCTTTTGTGACTTGTTCTAGTGTGTATTATTAAACTTGATTAAAAAGAAAAAAAATCAGGTGTTGTGTGCATCTTATTTGGGGATGGAGAGTTTCAGACAGGGTCTCACACTGTAATCTAAGTAAGCCTCTGCCTCCCCAGACGGGCATTATAGGTGTGTGTATACTGCCATGTCCAATTTTGAGTCCATCTGTTTTGTATTCCACTCTCGCACCTGGGGGAGGGGTTTTTTGTAGGCTGAACATGTGTTATGGGGCCAGGTTTGGGTTAGGGTTTGCCATCTGCTACCTGGTCCGGAGTTTCGGTACTCTAATAATCTGTGCTGGAAGGGACTCGTTCCAATCAGGTCAGTGAGTTGAGAGGGAGCCCTGCCAGTGTTGGGCGAGTGGGACCAGGAACGCTGGAAAGACTGTAATCACTATGCATTCTTCACTGACAGGCCCAGGCACACTCCCCCGCAAGCAGCTCCAACTTCTAGGGGGTCTGGGTGGCGCACGTGAGAAAGTTTGGTCCGGCCCACGCGCCGTCGTCGGCCGTGGCTGTTGATTGGCTCGAGCCGGCGCCGGCCTCGGCTGCTGATTGGCTCTGCGTGGCGGGGCGTGTACGCTCACGGCCATTGTGGAGCTCCGGGCTGTTGACGTCATCCCGTGTTGCGCCCGCTGCTCATTGGTCCAGATCTGGTCGGCTCACCCCGCCCCTCGGCTGGCCTGGGTACTGCGGAGGCGGGTCAGGTTAGCCCGCCTTCCCCTCCGCGGATTGGCCCGCGGCAGGACCCATCGGTCGCGGTTGTGTCTGGGAAGGAGAGAAAATGGCGGCGGAGCCGAGCAAGACCGAAATCCAGACTCTTTTTAAGAGGCTACGAGCAATTCCAACCAACAAGGTGCTAGGAGGGGTGGGGCGCGGGGCCTGGCGCGGCTGGGGTGAAGCCTCCTGCCCCTCTGGGTTTCGAGGGAGGGAGAAAGAAGGGCGGAGACAGGCGGCTTTCCGGGGGGAGTCTCAGCGCCGGGCCTGGAATCGGGCAGCTGACCATTCGCTTATCGCCTCTTCCCTGCAGGCCTGTTTTGACTGCGGCGCCAAGAGTCCGAGTTGGGCCAGCATCACGTACGGTGTTTTCTTGTGCATTGACTGCTCCGGGGTGCACCGCTCTCTGGGCGTCCACCTCAGCTTTATCAGGTGAGCTCTCCGCGCCCTGCTGGGTTGACGCCGGCCTGTGTGGTCAGCAGGCGAGGGCAGCCGCCTCGGCCTGGACCGCGCTGAATCGGGTGTTTGGAAACCTCCGGGCCGGGGGTTTGGTAAGTTCTGTGGGAAGGACCTGCCTGTGTGGGCCCTTTGCTGTCTCTACCAGTAGAAAAATTATTTTCTTCAAGATCAAACTTGAAGCTGAATTTAGGAGGAAAGTTAGCTGCATTGACCCTGCTAGAGAGGTGGGGCCGAATTGGTCTCCAGTGGGAATGTGACCATCCTCAAGGGGAGAGACAAATTTGATTTCGTCTGCCTAAGAATGTGACCTTTTTTCCCATCTGGGGAAATAATTAGTACCCTTTGGAGAAGGTGAATGAAGAACAAAAATTTCAAGCGCAGGGTAGAGTGGAGGAAATGGGGCAGTGACTGATTAATGTTTCCTGGACACCTACAGCAGCCCCAGGCTAAATGACAGGTGTGGGCCTGCCAGGGAAAGCATATGCTTACTTCTGGTACTGGCTGTTAGATGACACACAGCCCTTGTACACAGGTCCACAGAGTTGGATTCAAACTGGAGCTGGTTGCAGCTGAGGTGTATGCAGGTTGGCGGCAATGCTAATGCGGTAAGCCTCCTCTTACCTAACTCCATCCCATTTTTTGTTTGTGCAAGACCCTGGGTACTCACTTTGCTGTGATTTTCTTGGGGATTCTCTCAGTTTCTCTGTTCAGAAGATTATCTGGTCTATAACACTACTATTGTATACACTCTTATCTAAATGTCACAGCTTTTCTCAAAGGAAAGTCAAAATAAGCCGAGCAGATATTCTTGGGAAAAGGCCAAGGGCCTTGGGGCCTCCACAGTCTTTGAGGTTTTTCCTGATACTTGGAAGGATGATGGGTACAACCTTACCTTGGGTAAGGTTGAGGCCTGGGTTCCATCCCTCCTCATCTCTGGGATAGGAAGTGGCATGGTGTTTTTTGCAAGAATTTTGGCAGAATTGTCTGCAAAACTGGTGGTGTCAATAACGTGTCATTCTGTATAATCTGTTATTGAGGGTTATCATACACAATATATTTTTTACTCTGGTAAAACTTAACCAAATCGTACTCTTCTTTCCTTTGCTCTTCAGACAGCTTTTTTTCGCCAACATGGTTGCACAGCTAATGATGCCAATACCAAATATAATAGCCGAGCTGCACAGATGTACCGGGAGAAAATCAGGCAGCTGGGGAGTGCTGCCTTGGCTAGGCATGGTACCGATGTAAGTGCCTGTTTTGGACCTGGGCAGTGACATAGGCTTGTGTGTGTGAGGGGCAGTCTTCAGAGTTTTGTGTTTCATGGTATCTTCCTCCTACCAGCTTTGGATAGACAATCTGAGCAGTGCTCCTAGTCATTCTCCAGAGAAGAAGGACTCTGATTTCTTCACAGAACACACTCAGGTGAGTGCCTACAAGGGGTATTTTACTTGGTAGCTCTAGCCTTCTGTGATCATGTCCCTTTGCTTAGGTGTGATGTCTCAGAACATCTGAGGCCCACTGAGTTGATTACTGTTTCCTATTGAGTAGGACCAGCTGTTTTTTCTCTATGTAGGGGTGCCTTAGAAATGAACTCCTGAGCAGTGGGCTAGCAGAGCGAGAAGCAGCTTCTTAACAGTTGAGGAGATCTCAGGGGCCCCAGACAACATTTTCTAGATATCCCAGAAGGGCACTGTAATTAGGGACAAAAAGAAAATTCCATCCCTGTGACCCACCTCTGTGAGAAAAGCTACCCTCTTGGCACTCAGTGTCAAATCCCTCTTTGACTTGGCATTTCTTTGATGTAGCCAAGTCATTTAATATGTCAAAATCTCAGTTTCTACAATGGAGACATAGCTTTCTCATAGGGCTCATTGTGAGTAAATGTATTTGTACATGAGCAGCCCTAAGACTTGGTGCATAGTGAGTACCTGAGAGTTTGTTAGCAGATTTTTCAATTAGGGGAATGGGCTCAGGCTATAAACACCTAGGGTGTGGTGACGGTGGGCTGGTATGTTCATTTCCTGGTAAGTAGCGACTATAGTTTTACCTGCTAACTTCTAGGCTCTTTCCGAATGGCTAGGAGTGGGGTTTCATATTCACAAGGTACTTGCAGGTGTTTGGTGCTTCTTGCTAGCAGGAATGGCTCACTGAGGCTTCTGGCCACCTTTGCAGCCTCCTTCCTGGGATGCACCAGCCACTGAGCCTTCAGGGATGCAGCAGCCAGCCCCGTCTGCAGAGAGCAGTGGTCTGGCACGTGAGTTCAGCCAACATTCCAACCAAGTGTCCTGGCCTTGGATAAGGATTCAGGGCTAAGAAGGGGATGCTTGCATGTGTTGGGGTGGGGAGGGTGTCTTTCTGTAACCTTGGGTGGAATGGGGTTCATTTTGGTTCTTGGAGGAAGTGGTGGGGATGTGTCTTTGGGTGGCAATCTGAAAAAACCCAGGGACTCTTGTCCTATTATTTCCTTTAAGGAGAAGTTGCAGGATTCTGGGAGCCTTATATTTAACTCCTGTCATTTCATCCACAGAGCCTGAGCTTGGCCCCAATACCGACCTCCTGGGAACCTCCCCTAAAGCCTCTCTGGGTCAGTATGTTAGCTAGTGGGCGTGTGGTGGTTGGGAGAAGGTGGGCCCCATGTGTTCTTTCTAGATCTCTGCTGCCTGGGTCACGGGGATTGAGGTCAGAGGAGACAGCATCTGATCTCTCTGGGGTGGTGACTGTAATTGACTTCAGAGCCAGACCCTTTGAGCTGACAAACCTGGATGTGGAACCCGGTTTATCAGAAGTGTGGGGAGGAGAGCATGGGACCAGGTCCTTGTCCTTGTTGTCAGGCAGGGCTGGCTTGTCAGTTGTTTCATGAGGTGTGGGTACAGCTCTGAGTTGCTGATGGCTCGAGGAGACATTGTCCTTTCAAAGCTAGTCCCTGGCCTGTCCCATTAGTGCTTTCATATTCTTTCTTTCTTTCTTTTTTTTTTTTTGGGTCCAGTCGTGGGCCCATATTCTTTGTTTAGTGGCCTTCAGACTTGGTTAAGGTAAACAGTCCTTTCGCCGACCTTGGTTTGTTCTGTTGACTCTTGGGGGTTGGGGCAGGAAGCCAGCAGAGTAACTATCCGAGTAGTGATCCCATGAGAAGACTGGCATAGCTTGTTTTGAAGCAGGCTCTCTGAGCTTAGGAGCTGTATAAAGGTTCTGGGGAGGGCTTCATGTTAGCTACAAGTCTGTTTTTTCTCCAGGGTCCATGTATCTGTCAGCTAAAGGGGCTCCTCCTGCCAGAGGTAACCGGCAGCTGCTTGGGGAGCCAGCTCCCTGCTCAAAAGCTGAGGCTAGTGTTTAGCACCTGCCTGCCTAACAGTTTTCACTTTGGTTCTGGGACTTTGTCTTTGGTTCTTCAGGTCTAGGTTCCTGTTGCAACCTGCTGGGAGTTAGGAGGCTCCCCTAACCCTGTGTGTCTTTGGCCTGGATACCCTTGGTTAGAACTCATGTTGGCAGCTTTGCCTTCCTCTGCCTGAAGTTGTTCTTCTTGGATGCTCTTGCCGTGAAGCTGCATGGTGTGGACTGAGCTGCTGCCTCCGACCTTCCTTTGTCCTCATGCCCACCCTCTTTCCCACACAGAACTGAAAAGCTCCATCATTGGCAAGAAGAAGCCCGCTGCTGCTAAGAAAGGGGTAAGTGGGCAGAGGCAGTATGGTAAAGTGGTTAGGAGCTCATGTGGACCTGGGTTTACCTGCTGACCTAAACACATGCTGACTATATGACTCCTGCAGCGGCACTTGTCTGACCTTGTCTGTGAGGAGGATTTAAAGATGTGTATCTTCGGGGTTCTGGGGGCAGTTGATGAGGCTGAATACATCTAGGACTTAGAGTTCTTGCTCACAGCAGGCTTTGGTGAGCATGAACTGTTGTCCTCATTCTCTGCAGCCTTTGTGGGGTTTGTGAAGCATGTCATCCCCAGCTCCAGCTTCAGTAGATCAAATTCTTTTAGCCATACTCATTAGGCTTCTCTTTCGGACCCTAAACGTTAAGAAGGATCCTTCCTTGTGTGGGAGAGGAAACTGGCTGGCAAGGTCCCATATCACGTGGTTCTCTCTCCAGCTGGGTGCCAAGAAAGGCCTAGGGGCCCAGAAGGTGAGCAACCAGAGCTTCACTGAGATTGAACGGCAGGCCCAGGTGGCAGAGAAGCTCCGTGAGCAGCAAGCAGCTGATGCCAAGAAGCAGGCGGAAGAGTCTATGTGCGTGTTTGCTGGCTTGAGCGGGGGTAGGTAGTAACCTGGATGCCACCGTCTGACTGTTAATTCCCTCCAGGGTTGCCTCCATGCGCCTGGCCTACCAGGAACTTCAGATTGATCGCAAGAAGGAAGAGAAAAAACTACAGAATCTTGAAGGGAAGAAACGTGAGCAGGCAGAGAGACTGGGCATGGGCTTGGTATCCAGAAGGTGAGATAGCCCTGAGTGTGGCAGGAAACTGCCATTGTTTTAGGGTCTTGAGAGCAATTCAGAATCCTGTGTTTTACTCTTCGTATGGGGCTTGGCTTGGTATCCAGTAGATATGTGGTCTAGAAGTACTGGTTTCATGAGCAATTAGGATCACATTATTCCTTATTCCTGTACATTCTAGAGACTAGTGTGAAGGGCACAAGTGGTGAGACTATTTATTTACTTATTTTTGCTAAATCTGGGGCTTGAACTTGCCTGGGCGCTGTCCCTGAGCTTTATTGCTCAAGGCTATCGCTCTACCACTTGAGTCACAGTACCACTTCCATAGTCATTGTGCTGTACTTCTCTGAAACAACATAGACTGGCTGGGTATTTGTCACCAGTATATTCGTAGCAATCAGCAAAACAACTGTAATCCTGGAAAGGGACTGAGGTCCTCTTCCCTGTTACATTCATAGAGGAATGACTGGATTAAAGAACCTGTTTTTTGGTTTTTGGCAGGGTCTATATAGCCAAGGCTGGCCTCCAATTTGTTATTGTTCTACCTCAGCCTCCTCAGTGCTGGGATTACAAGTATATGCCTCCATACCTGGCTGTTTTTCTTTTCTTTTTTTTTTTCTTACAGTGCAAAAATATTACTTAAATTCAGCTAACCTATTTAAAATCCAGTTTTAAAATATATTACCATCTCTCCCTTCCTCCTTCCTCTGTTTTCCTTGTTTGTGGTGGTCCTGGGTTGTAGAGCCTCATCCTTGCCAGGAAGTTTTGTGGTTTTTTTTTTTTTTCTTTTTCTTTTTTTGTGCCAGCCCTAGGGCTTGAACTCAGAGCCTGGGTACTCTGAACTTTTTTGCTCAAGGTTAGTACTCTACACTTGAGTTCACAGCTCCACTTCTGGCTTTTTTGCTGGTTAATTGGAGATTAGAGTCTCATGGACTTTCCAGCTTGGGCTGGCTGTGATTCCCAATCTCAGCCTCCTGAGTAGCTAGGATTACAGGTGTGAGCTACCGGTGCCAGCAAAGCAGCTTTTCTAATGAATTTATTAGAATCAAATTAATCCCGAAAGTGCCTTAAGCCTGATAGAAGACTCAGGTATCAAGAGTTGAACTGACTGCCCATACCTACTTCCTGGGAACACCAGCAGACCAAAATAGTGCCTGAGCTAAATGATGTGCTAGGAAATGTTCTCTTTTTTCTCCTTTTTTTTTGTCGGTCATGGGGCTTGAACTGTGGGTCTGGGCGTTGTCCCTCAGTTCTTCAGCTCAAGGTGATCGCTCTACCACTTGAGCCACAGCGCCACTTCTGGTTTTCTAGTGGTTTATTGGAGATGAGTCTCATGGAGTTTCCTGCCTGGGCTGGCTTTGAACCGAGATCCTCAGATCTCAGCCTCCCTGAGTAGCTAGGATTATAGGTGTGAGCCACCGGCGCCCGGCTCTCCTTTCTTTTTTATTCTTTTATTAAAGAGCTAGAATATAACATCCTTGTTCTGGGAATTTTTCATGCTCTCCTTTGTTCCCTGTCTCAGGGAAGGATATGGTTTATGTGTAGCAAGGCTGGGAGCTGGTGTTAGGAGTGCACAGTTAGGTACATAAATAGAGGTGGAAAGAGAACACTCTTACTTGGTATGCAGTGTTGTTAAAATGTTAACTACCAGCAGACCACAGTCCAGGAAGCTCTGTTGGAAAAACAAAGCTGATGGTTTTGTTTGTTTTTTGTTTTGGCGTCCGGTTGTGGGGCCTGAACTCTGGGTCTGGGCACTGTCCCTCAGCTCTTCAGCTCAAGGTGCTAGCGTTCTACCACTTGAGCCACAGTGCCACTTCCGGCTTTTTTCTTTTTGCTTATGTGGTGCTGAGGAATTGAACCCAGGGCCTCATGCATGCAAGGCAAGTACTCTACCACTGAGCCACCTTCCCAGCCCCCAAAGCTGATGTTTTTGACACTTCCAAGATATGCTCCCCAGGTCACCACATACACAGTGCCCCATCCCTCTGCTGGACTTGTTCTAATGCTATGCACAGGCGGAGAGCAGGCTCTGGATGATGTCCAAGGTAGCAGATGGCTGCTCTTGTGCAGTGACTCAGATTCTTACCTCCAGCCTCACATCAGCTCTATTCTCCTACACAGCTCTGTTTCCCACTCGGTGCTGTCTGAGATGCAGGTGATTGAGCAGGAAACACCAGTGAGTGCAAAGTCCTCCCGCTCTCAGCTAGACTTGTTTGATGATGTTGGAACTTTTGCCTCTGGACCTCCAAAGTAAGACTATTATTGGGGTTTAGGCTTGGCTTCTTTGTTCTTCTCCTCAGGCTTCTCTGAGCCATTTTGCTGTCTCTTTAGGTACAAGGACAACCCCTTTTCCTTGGGGGAAACTTTTGGTTCCCGCTGGGATACAGATGGAGCTTGGGGTGTGGACCGAGTAGAGGAAAAGGAGCCAGAAGTGACGATCTCGAGCATCCGGCCTGTTTCTGAAAGGTACAGTGGTCTAGGTCAGCCCTGTCCTGTAGAACTTTTGTGGTGATGACAGTGTTTTGTGTCTATACAATATAGTGATCCCTAGCTAGGTGACCATTGAGGGGCCCTGAAAATGCTAGTGTGGCTGAAGAACTGAATATAAGTAGCCACAGTGGTAAGTGGCTGCTTCATTGGCCAGTTCAGTAATCCTACTTGACTTAAACTGTGACTTATCACAGAGTTTGGCAGCCTCTTTAGCTTGGGATCTGTTTCTATGGTGGGAGGGTCCTGCTTTTCACTTCAGTCCTGACTTCCCTTGAAAGGCTCTGTGCCTCTAGTCTTCATCTTACTGTTTAATTGTAGTGCTGGGGATCGAGCCTAGAGCCTTGCACATTCTAGACACCAGCACATGCTCTGCCAATGAGCTATACTCCCAGCCCAGCCTTCCCCCCAATTTTTTTTAAACCTTTTTCCATCTTAATGTGGACAGTGTTTTGTTGGTAGATTATTTTCAGACCATCCATTTGAAAAATGGTGATATAAATAGACCTAGGGTTGTTGAAAGGATTAAATATAATGCAGAAATCCTAGCCCAGAGCCTGTACTAGAACAGGAGTGGCCATGTGCCTTTTCATCCACATTTCGATGCTCCTGATTTTGGAGGGAGTACTAATAGTAATCATGGCACAAGAGTCTAGGTGCAAGCCCAGGCAAACTGAACCATGTGGTCACCCCATTGCTAGGAAGAGTAAGTGTCTAGGGGTAAGGTAGCAGCAAGATAATATGGCCTTTTTGACCTTGATGAAACTAGTGGCTTGGGGCTGAATCCCAGGGCTCTCCACATTCTACAGGTCTGCATAGTGTAACTTGTACTCTTTATGCCTTGGCTTCAGTGTAGTGAAGAGAGGGCCCTTGAGAGTCAGAACCACAGACAAAATAGGGCATGGCAAACATGGGCAGAAGGCTGTTGGTCTTTTTGTGTGTGTGTCTCTACTCTGCTTCTCCTGATGGGAGATCCTCCACATCTGTCCCACAGAGCCACAAACCGGAGAGAAGTGGAGAGTCGGAGCTCAGGCCTCGAGTCCAGTGAAGCTCGTCAGAAATTCGCAGGAGCTAAAGCCATTTCATCTGACATGTTCTTTGGGCGAGAGGTAGATTCGGAGGTGAGTAGAGTTGTGTTTCTGGCAGCAGCATGGAGAAACAAGAGCTCTCCTGCCTCTGCTTTGGATGTTAGGAGTTCTTGTGTCATTGGCCAAAGCATCTTAAAGCCTTGCTGTTTTTTCACTACAGTATGAAGCCAGGTCTCGGCTACAGCAGCTCTCGGGCAGCAGCGCCATCAGCTCTTCAGACCTCTTTGGGGACATGGATGGAGCTCATGGAGGAGGTGGGACCTTGATGGGGTGGTAGGCACTCTGCTTGGCCTGTTAGCCAGCTGGAGGGGCCCTATAGACTGGGAAGGGCTTCCTGCAGGGCCCTGGATCACCCATCCCCTTGATTTCACAGGAAGTGTTTCTCTGGGGAATGTGCTCCCTACAGCTGACATCGCCCAGTTTAAGCAGGGTGTCAAGTCTGTGGCTGGCAAGATGGCTGTGCTGGCCAATGGTGTGATGAATTCTTTGCAGGTAAGACTGGGTCGCTGCACCTGTGAAAGAGGCCTAAGCAGTAGTGCTCTTTCATATACTAGTCCTGGGTAGCCACTGAGAGCATTTGCTTTCCTTAGAGAGGCAGCCCTAAACAGGGCTGGACCTCTCCCTTCTGTACTGACTTTCCATGGCTTTCTTCTCCCTCTTAGCTTCCATGAGTGCTGTGTGCCACCCTTTGCCCCAGCACTCCCCATGTACTCTGTGGGCACCCAGCACTTTTGCAGCAAGGTTCCATTGGGGAGGGCCTTGCACTTGCTAGGCAGGCACTTTACACTTGAGCTGTATACTTCTAGGTCCTTTTTACATTCACCGGTTACCTTGAAGGCAGACTCTTGCTTTATGCCCAGGCTGGCCAAGGCAGCAGTCCTTCATCTTGTGCTTCCCCATCCCCATCACGATGCTCAGCCATTGTTCTTCCCCATGCCCACCTACTGGAGCCTTGAAAACTCTGCCTGGGTGCCTCAAGCCATAATCCCTTGACCTCCACTTCCAGGCAACTAGGATTATAGGCTGGAGCCACCCTGGCTGGCTAACTTTGTGTTTTCTTCTCCTTACTCCCAGGATCGCTATGGTTCCTACTGACCCCAGGCTCCGTGGCTCAGGCCTGTAGTGGTGACAGCAGCAAGAAGTCCATGATTCCCAGGCCAGGGCTGCCTGCCTTGTAGAAGCTGCGATGTGTCACTTTCTGTGTGTGCTGTGTGAGTGGGGTGGCTTTGGAGGATCTTGGGCAAGGGAAATGGTCATCATCAGCCTATGGATTGAGCCCCTATTTTCATCCCCTCGCCCTCTCCCCATGCTAGTGTCCTTCCAGTCCTGCCTCACAGCTGCTGCTCACTTGGCCTGCTGCACAGGGAGGGGAGGGTTCCTTCAGGGTGGCTGATTCTGGTTACAGTTCTTCCCCTAATAGGGAAGGCACAATGCTTTTGCAGGCTGTAGGATCCTTTCTAGGTGGTCTGGAGGCCGAAGCCTCCGTCCTCCAGAGATGGGGAGGCCTAGCAAGGGTTCTGTTAGGTACCAGCCCCAGGGAGAGGCTCTGAACTGTTGCCACTAGCATCCTCTTCTGGGTACCAGGAAAGGACATGGGAAGGAAAGACCTTTGGGCCTTACTAAGGGCTAGAAACTTACCCGACATCTGAGATTCATTTGGGATCAGCCTGAAGGCCTGAGTGATCTGTCTCTGCTTCATGTGGAGCTGACTTTTGCTAGGGGCCTCATAACACTTCCCTACCATTATGGTGGGCCATGGATCCTTGTCCATGCCTGAGACTGTCCCCTCTTTCCCTGGTTGGGGCCATGGTGGGTGGGTGTCATCTGCTGTGTCCCGACTGGGTGCTGTGAGTCTGTCAGTGGCATGGGAGGCTGAAGGCATGATAGACAGCAGCGGGTTCCTGGGGCTCAGCTTTCTTCCTCTGCATCATCCTGGGCCGAGGGTGGCCTGAACGGCATCCCATCCATGAGAGCTTGAAGGGCCTGCAGCGAGCCTCACCCTTTGGCAGCTGAGCCATGCACTGTGTCATCCGTGGTGCCATCTTCCCCTGCCACGCCGGGAAGCAGACTGGGCCCCCTACTCGAGGTTCGCAGGTTGGACTTCCAGGCAACACAAACCACTCTTCCCCATCCCTCCCCCAGAGGGACATAACTTTCTTTCAGGACTGTTTGTATTGAAACAAAGTGGTGTCAAAATAAAGCCCCCACGGGGCCCTGTGGGTCAGTGTCCTCTCCATGCTGCCTCCCTGCCCAGCGTGGCCCCGCTCACTCTCTGGGTTCCCACCGATACAGGTTGGGCGTTGGTGCCGAAGCTGAGGGCACTCTCTCCAGGGCCTCCAGCTTGTCTCTTCTCTGAAAGTCAAAGTCCCCTGGCTCCTCGCCCCTGTGCTGCCGTGCGGTCCGGTGCAGCCTCGACCTCACCACCCTGTTGCACGCGGAGGAAAGAGCTGGTGTTAGTTGGCCCTCCGGTTCTCCTGCAGAGATCATGACTGAGGGCTGGCAAGCATCCTTGCAGGCCTGCTCCTCACCACAACAGCAGGCATAGCTCAGACAGGTTCCTCGGAGTTGAAAAAAGTATTTTAAGTATTCAGACTAAATGAGAGCCTGTTAACTCCTAGAAGAGTAGAGGTTTGTGTAGAGCCTTCTGGATGGGCCATCCCTTTCCTTACAGGAGCCTCTGCAACATCTTTTTTCCCCCAGATCCACAGAAGTTGAGGGAAGCCGTGGGATCAAGCCCATAGAGGCCCATCTGGGCACAGAGAAGCTCAGGAAAGTGTGTGCCTCCTGTGGTGACTGGCAGCCTGCTTTGCCGGGGCTTCTGGGTGGGTTTCTCTTTCTATGAAGATTCTCTTCCCCCTTCAAGGAAGTTGAAGATCACCTGCCTTTCCTTCACCTAGTCTTCGGAAACCTGTAGGCCTCAGCCTGCTAGCCACTCCTCTACCTGGCTCCACCAGGGTCTTTCCAGATTTCTATTCCCATCACAGCTGCATTCACATACAAGCCCTAGCCCTTGAGTGTTTTAGTGAAACCCTGGCCAGAGGCCATGCAGTAACAATGCAGTGTGGTCAGGGCCTTGAGAATCTATGGGAATGTGGCCTTGAGCCTTCTAGGCTATTTCTGAAAGTCATTCCAGCTGTGCACACCTCTGAGCAGTGGATTTCACTAGGCTGAAGTGGTCCACCAAGCCCGTTGTCCCATCATTCCAGAAAAGCACCCAGACCCCAACCTCCCCTTTCCCTTCCCTCAGCCTGGTGCCTTTAGATTCACCACTTAGCAGACACAAGGGACTTTATTCATTTCACAGATTTGCTAATAGACACAGGAGACTCGAAGCAGGCTTTTGCAAGTGAACTTTCTGCCCACCCTTCTTTCTACTGTCATGACTAGTGACTGATTTTTCCAGCAGAAGGCCACAGTTGGTATCTTCCCAGTATTGCTCTCAGGTGTCATCCTTGATGGAGCCAGGCTATTTGTTATCGTTCTCCCTTATATGAAGTGTTAAGGGATGAACCTTATCAAGGGACTAGCAGAGATTGGCTGAGAAAAGAGGTAAGGGGGACTGCCAACAAAAGGCTTAGGGCAAGTCCCTTTCCCAGTGATGGCAGATGACCTCAGGATAGTCTGTCAGCTTAAGTCCAAAGGATGACAGTGCCAGAGAGAGCAGGCTATAAAATTGCTAGGTCACTGCTTGGCTTGGCTGATGATTGAACTGGCAGGCCTCTGTGGCTGTTCAGCTTTTCTGCCAGCAGAGGGCAGCACAGCAAGGCGCTAGAGGAGGTTAGGTGGGGTACCATGGATTGGATGGGAAAGCAAGGTACCATGTGAAAGCAAGGCCCTTCAGATTCCTCAAGTCTCAGACTCATCTGTCTCTTCAGTGGAGCCATCGCTCTCTGCATCCACTTTGCGAGGGTGATGGAGAGGCCTCCAAGGGGAGCCAACCCGGGAAGGGGTCCGGGAAGGCAGGTAGCCGGCCTCTGGAGTGGCAGTGATCGGATTGACCAGGCCTGGGACCTGCACCAGCCTGAAGAAGGGAAGAACCTGGAGGGCAGTGAGGTGTTTCCTGTCCAGAAACTAGAACCTTCAGGTTCCCTCTTGTATCTGAACATCCATCACCCATGGACTCAGGATACCTTGGGCCTCTGTTGTTCCCCCCTCTCCCCCAGCCCTTCCTTGACTAATGCAGGATGTTACAGACAAGTGCCACAGAACCCACAGTGGGGCACAGCCATGTCTGACTGAGGTTAGGCTACCACAAAGGGGCATTTCCCCAACATGACACTTACAGCCGTTCCAGCTCCTCATCCATGGCTGGGTCATGCATCAGGTCTCCCTTGTCAGGTAAAGCTCCTAGGAGATAATGGGAAAAGGGGTGTGTGTTTGTGGGGTGGGGGACGGCATCTGACAACCTGAGGGTTCTTCAACCAGGCAATAGATCCTTCATGCTCCTTATATTCATGTCTGCCTACTCTGCTGATCCTGAGAGGGCTGATTTCAAATGAGGGGAAGACTGCTAGCAGCCAAAAACCTACCCTGGGGCAGGAAGCAGAGGTGACAAGGAGACATCCCCAGAGAGTGTCATCCTATTCCAAGATGAACTCTGAGCTACGTTTGCTTCTTGAGGTCCCATGTATTGGTTCTAAGGGGTTTGGCCCAGGCTAACCCAAAAGTCAGAAGTGATCCAAAAGTAGGGAAACATTTAGATACAGTTCAAAGTTCAAAAAAACCAAAATCAACCTTTGGCCTGAAGAAACTGCCCCAGTCTAAAGTCTTACTACAATCTTGTGGCATTTTTTTGTTTTGTTTTGGGTTTTTTGTTTGTTTGTTTTTTGCTGCAGATGGAGAGTTTAAAGGGAAGAAGAGTGTGGTAGGAAGGGGAAGCTGAAGTTCACACAGGAAGATTCTCATGAGCAAATGGTTGAGAGAAAACAGCTTAAGATGCTATTCTCCAGAAAGATTTGAGGTTATGTTTACATATCTGACAGGTTTTTTTTTTTTTTGTCTGCCAGAACTGGGCCTTAACTTATGGCTTCATGCTCTTGCTCTGCTTTTTCACTCATGGCTGGCATTCATGCGTCCAGTCCCATTGTTTCTAACCTTTCTAGATGGTGCTTCCATCTTTTGCTCTTACTGATTTTCAAACTCACTGTCCCATGGAGCTTCTCATTTTTTGGGGGGGAGGGGTTCCCCTGGGGACAAAGGAAATGGCCATTTACTCCTCCACAGTTGGCTCCAACCAGGGTTTTTCCAGATTTCTGTTGCATATCATTAAGCTGCTGCTTTCTTTTCTTTTTTGTACAATACTGAGGACTGAACTGAGGTTTTGTTGTTTTGTTTTGTTTTTTTGAGACCCTTAGGACAGGAGAGGTTAGTCCAAGCTGTAATCTAGTTGCTAGTTAGCTTTTCCTTGTCCTTAACAGCTGGGGAAGGAGTGAAGGTGAACACTTACCCTCACCTTTAATTTCTTAACTCCTTATTAGTCCTTTTTTAGTGCTAGAATAGCTGGTGACCTTGACTACCAACCTCATTTAGTTGAGGGGCCCCTAACTCAGAATAACCAGGCTGCCAGGGGGCATGTATGCCCAAATCTGCACGGAGTTAGCACCCATGGACCTCCCAGAGAATGTGGACAGGTGATGTACTGGGTACCATTATAGACAAAGTTGTCAGCAGAGCACTTGGCCCACGACAATGTGTACTTGATGTGTTAACTTCTTCCTTGACTCCATCTCTCAATTGGAAGGAAGAGGGGATGCTCCCTGTTTTGTCTAAGAGTAGAATGTCTGGAGACACAAATAAAACTCCACCAGGTGGCAGCTTGCTAGCTCTTCTGAGAGATTTTGTAAAGGCAAGGGGGGGAGTGGGGGAGGGGCAGCCAACAAGGACGAAATGACCGGCAAGAAAACTGGGCTAGTGTAACCTTCCTCCACTGGGGCTTGAATTCAAGGCCTAGGCACTACCTCTTAGCTGCACTTTTTTTTTTTTTGGTCAGTCCTGGGGCTTGAACTCAGGGCCTGAGCACTGTCCCTGAGCTTCTTTTACTCGGTCATTTGAGCCACAGTGCCACTTCCAGCCTTTTTTATTTATGTGGCCTGAGGAAGCAAACCCAGGGCTTCATGCATGCTAGGTAAGCACTCTACCACTGAGCCACATACCCAGCTCTCACCTCCCCTTTTTTTTTCTCTTCTCAAGCTAGCATTCTATCACTTGAGCCACAGCTCCACTTTGGCTTTTTGATGGTTCATTGGAGATTGGTCTCATGGATCTTCCTGCCCTGGCTGATTTCTGTGATCCTCAGATCTCAGCCTCTTGAGTAGTTAGAATTATGGGTATGAGCCACTGGCATCCATCTGTTCACTTTTTTTCCCCCTCCCTTCTCTTTTTAAGATGAATCAGATTTTTTTTTTTTCTCCAACTGGGAAAAACACCTCCCAGACACACCTTGCCTGTTTCTAAAAGGGCTAATGAGATTCAGGTCTCTTTGATATATAATCTCCAGAGCCACTGGGTAAATAGCCAGTGTCTGCCCAGCCTGTGGGCTGTTCCCCACAGCAGAAGCAGTGAGTCTTTGGGGAGAGGCTGGGCACACCTGTGCCCAGTTGTGGGAGGCTGCTTCATACGTGTTGGGGCAGGGCCTAGGGCAGGAAGGCTGTCCCTCACAGCAGTGTGAGAGGCCTGCCAAGGCACAGTCTTGGGCTGTGCACATTCCAGCTCCCTAGGGCTCAGAGGCTGGCCCACAGAGGTCAAGTCGGAAATGGGAATGTCTCCTACCCCATGTCTACCAAGAGGCCAGCAGCACGGTGGGGAAGCTAACTGGCTTACCTAGGGCTTGATTGATTCCATGATGCTTTGAGAGGGCCACAAGGAATCCATAGAAAGTCAGCCTCTGAACGCTGCTGAGGATCTCTTTGACAAGTGCTGGGGGTGGACAGCTAGAAGGGAGAATAAAGATGTCAGATTCAAAGGCTAGCAGGTCTGGATGCCATCCTTTCATCCATATTTTCGGGCTTAGGGAGATACCCAAGGCTGAGACCCAGGGACCAGCCATAGGAGCCCTCTAGCCATGAGAGCACAGAAGATCTCCAGGAGCAAGGGCCTGGCTGGAGACAGGAGGGACTCGTGTATGTTTCTTGGCATGTTTACAGGGGTGTAGGAAGGAAAAGAGGAGGCCTACTATGATGGCCTCCTTGGCTGGCAGCTGTCCCTAGAGGGGGCTTTGATAGGGCA